CAGCTGTGCTCCTATGCCACATATTATCTGTTGAGAGACTGTGTACATGAGCGTGAGTGCACGAGCACAGGAAGCGATTTTTAAAGTGTGGACAGGAAGTCTGTGAAGTGTCTGTGGATGGACAGTCACACACACTCTTGTAGGTACAGGAAGGTTTTCAGGCAAGGTGGGGGGCTAGTTGTTCTCGAAGAGGGAGAGAAGGTCATCGTTGCTGTTGGCGGGAAGGTCAGGAGGGTCCAGGTATGATAGTAGCTCATCTGGGTTGGCCAGCTCTGGAAGCAGCTGTGGGCAGAAGGCAGAATAAACGGACTGAGTGGCACGGCTAAAAAAAAACCTGAAAACACAACGACTCTTCCAAGGCTGCAGGACTCGGAGTCATGCTGAAGTGTCCGATGAAGCTAGTGTACACATAAACACACCTACCACTGCTCAGCAGCAAACAGAGAGTCAAACACCAAGCACACAGAAAAGAGATGAGAGCAGCTGCAGCAGACAATGTTAACTGTTAACAAGTAGCTTATGGCGCACACAGCCGACACACTTACATCCAGGGAGGGTTCAGGCATATCCTGGGTTCCCTGACCCATCTGGCCATCTGAGGAGGGATTAAAGTTCAGATCGTTGTGGGGGTGAGCGTTCTGCCCAGGCTGCTGAGGCTGCGACTGGCGAGGCGGCTCTGTGATGCAAGGGCGGCCCTGACTGGCCACTGTGATGTAAGGGCGGCCCTGTTTGGCTGCCAGGGTGAGGAGACGCATGCAAGCTCGGCTGCATGGAGTTATGAGACTGATCGGGATGGGACATCTGCAGGTGCGAGAGGGAGACAGAAAGCGAGAGAGATGGGGAGTGAAAAATAAGGAGGAAGGCAGAGTGAGAGAGGCACAGAGCGAAGGAGAGAGTGTTATATGGGGAGGCAGGAGGGTAGAGGTGCGTGGGAAAACAAGGAAAAGCGAAATGAGTTCCAGCGTGAATAATATGGAACAGGCCTTCTAAATGGAAGCTGTGATCAGCAGACATGTACAGCTGCAACATTATACAGTGACATGAGCATGTGAGCACGACTGAGCACACATGCTGGCTACAGGCACAGGCTGCACCTTATTCAGATAACAAATCTGACCCGCTTGTTTCAGTATGGCACATATTGTCTGGAGATGTTCTTCTACAAACTAAGGTACCAAATTATATCACAGGAAAAAATAATTTTGCAGTGGATAGCTACGAGACTTAAAGTCAGACCAAAGATAAGCCTGATTTAATTCAAGCACCTTGTATAGTGCTATACTACTTCCATAAACATACTTCACTGGTATAATAGCATGGGAAAGCAAGCAGCCCTAGGAGGTTAACTTTACTTACTGCATCATTCATTCCGTGATTAAGGGGCTTGTCCTGGGAGAGGAGACCACCAGGTCCATCTGGGGGGTGAGAGAGCTGGGGGCCATGCATGAAGTCATTCATTGGGGGACCTCCTCCTCCTCCAAGTCCACCACCAGAGGGGTTCCCATGAGGGAAGTCAAAGTTCCCTTGGCTGTGGTAACTGTTGCCTTGAAGAACAAAAAGTGTTCGTCAATTGGCACACAAAAGTTTTTTTTGGTCTTGTTTGTTGAATCCTTACTGGTGCAAAAAGTTATCTTTTCAAAGAGGTTATATAACAGCAAACACAGGTGGCACTTTTTTTATGAAACATTTATCAGGGCAGTGAGTGAGCTTACAAAATTTTAAAACCATTTCAGCATGAAATCCTCCTTGGGTTTGTTTCTTTGTCAATAGTTCCTGCTGTACAATCCAACAAATTTACTGATTATCCTGTTTATGTATCTACACAATAGGATCCTGGCTGCTTTTTATTACCTGTTCCTGGGTAATCTCCCCCGTTACCACTAACATGCTGACCAGGGTGTGGGGGGTAGGGGCTCAGACCTGGTCCGGAGACGGGCCCAGGCCCTGGGCCAGGCCCTAACTGGGCAATCATCTCCATCACATTGGGCATGGTCATCTGGCTGGGGCTCATGGTCTTAAAGCGCTTAGCCAGAGGTCCATCAGGGTCCTCTTTGATGTGCATTTCAGACTTAATGGGGACAGGTCGCCAGCTACATGTAGGGTCTATAGTGACCTCCTCAAACTCTGAACTATTGGAGAAGAAAGTAGACAGTTAGTTTGAATTTTGAAAAACTGGACTCAAACATATGGGTGGAATTAGCAGGCGAAAGAAGGAAACTTACTTTTGGATGGCATTGAGGATTCCCCACATGTACTGGTCCACCTCCAGACCTTCTAATAATGCTGTTTTACTGAAAGGAGAAAAGGCAATATATACAGCATATATAATCAGTTAGAGGCATTCCTTAATAACATGTTTGTATCCCAAAACATAACAACATTTCACTTACTTGCACACAGGACACCTCCATGTCCCCCTCTCACAGTTGAGCTGCAAGTAGGACTCCAGATCAAAGCACTGTGGAGAACAACATTATAAATGCTCATTTGAATAAAAGTCTCCCATTCACAGCAACACAATTTTTCATTAACAGTAACTTTTACTGGCCCTTTAAATCTGAACAAACCTGGACGTGTTTGCAGTCATGCCCTCGTGCTGGTAGCTGGATGCGTCGGAAAGTAATCGGACATTTCAGTGACACTTTAATGGCCGTCTGCTCCACACCATCTTCTCCGTTAAGAGCGGTGCTGCCTGCCGATGCTGCCACACTACTGAAGTTCCTCTTAACTAAAAAAAAAAAAAAAAAAAAAAAAAAAAGTGTTTCAGGTGAATGGTGCATATTTGCAGGTGTACAGTACTTAAAGATGTATTTTAAAGCAAAGCAAAAAGAAACAGGTGTGAGTGTGTGTAATTAAGATGTAGGCTATATTAACTACACTAAGAGACAAAATGAGCCATACTCTTGGTGATGCAGTGTTCTGCAGGAAGGAGCCTCTTCTTGAGGAGCCCCTGGAGGACAGATCGCACAGATGGCCTGTGGACCAGCTGTAGTACAAACAGGTGGGACTACAAAGCAACACAAGAACATGAAAACAAACAGTTAGCACAGACAGCTGTACCTTAAGTTTCCGCACAAGGCAAATTCCGTCCTAAGTGAAATTATCTGAGTGAAAATCATCCGAGCTGATGTTTCTGTTGAATGAAACAATCACATTACTGTATTGTTAATAGGCATGTATTGTCCTAATAGTGTTTACTCACACAACAGCAGGCAGTGACTGTAATTTGGATGGTGTTTCTCCCAGGCTGGCATACATGCTTCAGGTGAAGGGGCTTGTGGGAGGTTTTGTTATCTCCCCTTTCGATGGTGAGGGGCGTGGCGTTGACGCTGACCTGGACGGAGGCAGGCCAGTTAGTGTTCATCTGCCTGTCTTCATGGTGGTAGCACTTAAACTGCAGCTCAAGGTCTGACCTATGGGAGTAGTGGGCAAATGGAGTCAGTTAGCAATAATGTTCAGGTGCTGGTTCTCTGTAAAGATGTTTCTATGCTGTAAATTTAAGTAGTATTTAATACTACAAAGGCCAGAACTGTCTTTACCGTAAGTAAAAGACCAAAACTTGCATTAAAAACAGTCCATATTAAAGATATATGTGCCATTTAGAAAATGCTTCTTTATTTGCGGGAATTTTACTGAGCACTAAATGTAAAATATGGTGGAAGCGGAGGTTTGCGTGGTGGTTCTACCTCCACATGAGGGTCTGGTGGACGGAGGGTCGAAGGTGGAAAACGTGGTTACTGACAGCCAGGTTGTGCTCCAAGCGGAACGGCTCCAGCACCACTCCATCCCTGACTGGGAACGTCAGCCGCAGCTCCTCATTAGGATTACCTGGGATAGGAGAAGAACAGGGGAAATCCACTTTTAATCTAACGCTGCATCAGATGACATAAAAGATGACAAGGTTAAAAGCAAACAAATGCATCATACAGTATGAAGCAATTGTTTCAGAAGTGCTGGAGTACTCACTTGGAGGAGGTGGAAGCGCTGTCATATTTGGTTTCATGTCGGGTGGAAAAGGGGGCTTCACATCCTGGCTTGGCGACAGGTACGGAGGAATACTACTTCCTGGGGTCATAGGGGGTGTGGGGTTTCCAGGGACTGGGGAGTGTGGGTAGTTACCAGGCCTGGGGGGCTATAAAAGGCAGAAAAGTACAATAATGAAAACATCTGTGTAACTCATTTCATAGTATATGTGACTGGGTCAATTTTTGTCTCGGCAAGCAATAGTTGACATATGGAGCTTTATGAAAGCATACCCCGTTGCCTTGGCCGTAGGAGTATCCACCTCCAGAGAAGTTGGTGCTCTGACCATTGAATGGCTCTTGCTGTAAAGGAAATTAAAAAAAACAAACAACATAATTTGACACTTCACCATGGCACCAGATGTATAGTGTGCACTCTAGGTTGTTCCAAAATGTGCTATAGCTGCATGCTTGGCTCCAGCCCCCCTTCGGACTCTGATTAGGAGTAAGTTGCTGTAGAATAGGGGTAGGTAGATAAATGGTATGGCATAACAGACCTTATAATATTGGCCCATGGGCATGCCAGGTGGGTACTGTCCTTGGCCCTGCTGCCCTGGCATCCTCTGGCCAGGGTAGTTAGGAGAGGGCAGGGGCCTGGAGGCGTTTGTTGTCGGGTACTGCCCCTGCTGTGTTGGGAACTGACTATTCAGCCCATACTGCTGACCCCCATAACTCGCCTAGAAGAACAAAGATGTTAAACGCATATTATTGGCGCTACTGATACATAATCTCCACATTATTTAAATTATCAGGTCTTTACTTTTTCACTCACCTCCCCGGGATATGGCCTCTTCATCCCCTGCATGGGCATGCCTTGTCGAGGTCCTCCAGGGTATCCTTGCTGAGGCATCCTTTGGCCGTGAGCGCCAAAATGCCCCATGCCTGGGGTTCGAGCCTGATTAATCCCCATGGGAGGCCCACTCATATTAGGGTTGTTCATGGCTGATCCCATGCTGGCTGGATTCATAGAACCAGGCGGGCCTCGAGGGCCCGGCCGGGTTATGGAC